ACAGGCTCTCAGAGGCCTGAAGGGAGAGCGTCCCGGAGCCTTTAATCTGAGTCACTGCCTCTTGCATTAGGCAGTGCCAAGATCTTCCGCATGGGCTTACTGTTGGCACCAACCTCTGGGCAGTCACTTCTCCAATGGCCTCTTTTTGCAGCAGGCACATTGGTCTCTATCTAGCTTCAGTTGGCTTGGGCAAGGGAGTTGCTGGTTTTCTCCTGTCCCTGACTCTTACTTAGTTCCTTGTACTGCTTACAGTGGTGCCCTGCTACAATAATCTTGGCTTGCCTGCATGAGGTTTTCTCTGCCTCAGCAGTTTTGTGCTTTTGCTTTTCAACATCTCTGTTATCATAAACTTTTGGGGCAATTTCTAGCAGCTGGGAAATATTTATCCCAGCAAATCCTTCAAGTTTCTGCAATTTCTTCCTGATGACTGAGAGATAAAGGCTAAGTTCACTGCCCTGGCATTTTCTGGAGCCAAGGGGTCAAATGGGGTATAGGACTCTCTGAGTTGCTCCAAGTATGCTCTGGGTGACTCCTCTAGGTCCGGGACCACCTCAGTTTTTTTTTGGTAAATTTATAGGTTTTGGGGCTGTTGCCCATAGGCCAATTAAAAGAGACTGGTAAAAAGCTTTCCAGAACCTGGGATCCTGCTGAGGTATTGGGATCCCTATCTGGCTGTTCTGCCAGAAAAACTGTGTTAAACTCACTTTGCCTCTCCTCCCCAGCATCACTAAAACTGGCCAAGAAGGCTTTTCTAGGTTCAATTCAAACCCTGTTCCACTCCTCAGTGGTGAGGAATGTTAAAAGAAGTTGTTGGCAATCATCCCAAGTGGGACGATGAGTCTAGAAGATGGGCTCAATCAAGGAAATAAGAGCCTGAGGCTCCTTTGAGTTGGGGGTGGGTGGGTTCTGGGATTTCCAATTGTACAAGTCAGAGGCTGAAAAAGAGACACAGACAAAAAGTGGTGGGTGCTCTTCCTGCTCCTGAGAGGGAGCAACTATGAACCTATTTTTCATTATATTATTATTTTCCTGCTTTGCCTTTAAATAGTGATGGTAGAGGCAAAAATAGAAAAAGATAAAAGAGCTGGGGAAGAAGGAAGACAGGGAGGAGAGGGGGGAGGAGGCAAGAGCTGCAGGAAACTCCAAGGTCATGAATCAAATCAGGTATACAGCCCAGGTGGCAGCAACCAATCAAACGTTTACACACCTCCACCCCAGCTAAGACCCCAACCACAGAGAGGCAGTTGGCCTATCGGAACCCCAAGACCTCCCTAGTGACCAATAAGTGACCAGACACTAACTTCTTCCTCAGCTATCTTCTTCAGCATTTTATTGCAACCCATAATACTTTGCGAGAAAATGTATAAAAGTTTCCCTGGCCTTTGCTTAGGGGCCACTCCCCGCTGTTTCTGCTTTTCTCATGGGAGTGACCCAAGCATATGCCTAATAAGAATAAACTCCTTGGTTTTTCCATATGTGAGTATGGACTCTCAGTGGTAATAATTTTGGCCTTAACACTCCCTCCCTGGGAGATGCCTCCCAAAGGAGGAGTATCTGGGCCTCTCATTTGGACTCAGGGTTCACACAAGACTGGAGGCAAGATGCTGGGAGTGAGAACTGAGGAGCAGAAGGCTCCAGCTGGGGTGCTGAGGGAGCTTCTCCTGTCGAGGAGACTGTGGGAAAGGATAGCCCTCCTATGTTGTATGGAGGTGGGAAATCCTCTTCCCCTGATGGGGCAAGGACTGGTGAGGAGGCTGCAGAATAAGATCCCATGGCATACACTTGCAACCAGGGAGGAGGCTTACAGACCAAAACCCACCCTGGTCTATACAGGGGAATTGGTGTGGGTGACTGGTTTTCCCATGACCACATGGTGTACTGTAGTCACCACGGCCAGGTCTAGGGAGCCTGTTGATGGCCATCTTAGATTAAAGCTCAGCCACTCAACTTCACTGAGTACTTGGAGTCAGTTCTTGGAGAACCAGATTCCATTGTCATCCAAGAAGCCACCTGTAAAATTCTTCAGCATACATTGTAAAGGTGTTAAAGACTTACTTTGCTGAGTTCCCATGATTTGACAGGCAAAAACTGACATCACCGGGGCAAACAAAATGACTCACAATTCCCCCAAACAAAGCAATGGTTATTATAAACAAATATATATGCAAGTCTAAAATGTGCATCTGAGGCTGAGGCCTCTAGGGACAGGTCTCACTACTGACACCCATGTCTATGAGAGCCTTGGCAGGCCAGGCTTCCCTGAGGCTACTGCCTTAACAGACAGGCCAGGTTCCTTGAGGTTCCTGTCTTACAGGTTTACAGGCCTGTCCTCACACCCAACCCCAGGCTCCCCTCTCACCTGCACCTCTGCGTCCAAGCGAGGCCAGAGACCAAAGCACCAGTGTTGCTGGCACTAGTGTCCTAGGGTCTCTGACAGGCCAGGGCCAACCCCTGAGGCTCCTGTCAGTGGCCTTCCTTGGAGGTTCCTAAGGGTCCTTCTGAACAAAAACAATTTCAAACAAACACTGCAGACTTCTCTAGAGTAAGCTGGACGACCTAAATTTGGGTGAGGAGTTGGCAGGAGTCCCTCTGAAGCCCTCATAAAGACTGGATTTCAGGGAATTATGGGGCCCTGGAACGTCTCAGGGGGGCACCTCCCCTATAATTTCTGCCTTCTCCAGGGGGCTACACAGGGAGGCTGACCCTCCAGCTGGAGATCTCACTGTGGCCTCCTAATATTATACCCGAAGCGAGTGGAACAGAGACATGCCAGCACACTGAGTCTAAATTAAGCAGGGATCCTTTACTGGCCGGCAGTCAATAGTGGGGTTATGTCTCAAAGTCTCTTGTCCACAAGAGGCAGGGGTACAAACTTTTTTTTTTTAAGGTACAAATTTTTTATAAAGAAGTTTGGTAGGGGAGGGGAGTCCCTAATGCAAGCCGAGTTCCATAAAAGCCAACACCTGCAAGGTTAGATCTATAGGGTAAAGGGAATGCTTACAAGGGAGAGCTGTGGTTTCATAGGATTTTACAGTTTTTGCTAAACTCTGCAGCTTTCAGCTAAGCTTAAAGGGGGAGTGTTGAAAGCCCTCAGCAAAGTCCTTAGCAAAATGGAGTAAGTCTGGATCTATGTATAAAATGGAGTTAGGGCATTACAAGAACAGTGTCTCTTCACACTTTGGATGACACAGGACACAACCTGGAAGAAGAGAGGATGGAATCACCAGGCTGTCATACAGGGCAAGAAAATTTTAGTGAAATAGGTGCCTCTCATTCGATTATCCTTATAGAGCCACAACATCCATACATGTTTCTAGGAATCAAAACTTAACTGAATTTCTTTGATAAACTGCTCAGAGAGTCAAACCAAGAATGGGTAAGAGCATAGACACTGGATTACTGAACAAGAAATCCAGTCTGAAAAAGAAAAGCCTGTATGTTTGTTCCCTGTCCTTTGAAATAAATCCACAAATTGACAAAGAAGCAACATCTAAATAGACTTTTATTTTTATTTTACTTGTTTGGACAGAAAAGAAAATTCATCAGCTTTCAATAGAGTCTCCCTAAAGTGTTGGAAACACATTCAACTCAGAAGTAGAGAACCTTGTAGAAAAGCATCACAAATTAAAAATATATTTCTTCATGTGGGAAAAGTGCTTTCAGTCCAACTTGAAAGGGCATAGCAAAGGTGTCTGGAAACACCTTTCCTCAAATTTGGCCTCCAATCGTGGCATGTTAACAAACCCAGAGGGCAAGGGGGCCATTGTGAACTACAGGACAGAGTGATGTGGGGTTCAGGAACATGCTGACAACAACACTTTCATCAAAGGTGTATGGACAGGGAAAAAAATCCCTATGCCTGAGTAGTAGAGATTTGCATTTGTCAAGATGGGGTGGTGACATGAACTGGGCTGGAAGGGGAAGGGGTAATGCCAGGAATGATTTGTTTCCTGCCTGTGGGGACAGTCAGAGCAGTCAGCAGCCCTGGTGCTGAGGTTTCCCACAGAGACATGTAAATCTTGGTTCAGAAACAGCCCCAGATATCTTTGGGAGCTAATGGAGCCCTGGCTTCCAGCTGCTGGTCACGCAGACTTCTCAGTCCTGGGGTGAGCTCCCCATTTGCCACCTCCCCATGTCAAATCATGGGTAGCCCGGGGCCCCTTTGAAGTTTTTCCAAGACTGTTCGTACTGCTCTGTGGACCACTCTTAACAATGATCAATAGTGCAAAGGCTGCTATGCAAGGAGCAATGACAAGGAAGAAATGGCCATCCCTAGAGAATTTTGTCTTAGCAATGCTACATATTTTTCAAACAAGTAAAATAGTCTGCCAATGATGACAGAGACTGTGACAAAGGTTAGGCCCTCAGGGTCTCTGTGGTCCTCCCTGGAACATAGCAGGTGTGTTCTGGAAGGGAGCTGCCCCACCACACACACCCTGCCACCTGGTGGGACAGGAGCTGTGATCATGCAAGGAGCTGTGATTGTGTGGGAGGGGTAGAGAGGTGCTGGCAGGGCTGGCTGTGGGGTGGGGGTGGGAAATATCTGCCATTTACATTAGATCTTAAGCAACAGTAAGAAAATAACCTGAAGAAATATTTAAAAATAAAAAACAGCATCACCCTTCACTGCCATCTTTAGGCATTTCCCGTCTCCCCCAACCAGCAGCCAGACCAGGGATGAGGCACAGGACGCCTCATTGAGTCATCACAATGGGCAACTGCCTGGAGCTTGTCACAGCTCACCTGGGCTGTGTCTCTTCCTAGAGAACTTAGAAGCTTCCGGCCTCTCTGCAACACCAGAACCATCATTATAACCACACAGGCCCATCTCTCCCTGCTCCCAGCACCACAGTCCTGACCCAGGCCTCAGGCGTTTGTCTCAGAAGCCACAGCTTGGCCTTTGTGGTACCTTCCGTCTCAGTCAACTGTGCTCAGAGCTGATGCCGCCTTGCCACCCCATGGCTGTCAGTGAAGAATCTCCCACTGGGAATCTGAATATGAGCCAAACCCAGGGCCTCTCCAGTTCTCTGCATGGGCAGGTCACATGGCAGGCTGTCCTCGTGCTTTCGCCCCTCCCTCGACCTGGCCCCGACCCAGGCTGGGCCAGCGTTCCCAGCATCAGTGGGCTGGCGCAGTGTCCTCCAAGCCCACCAGCTCTCTGACGAGTCTCTCCCCAAACTGCGCCCGGCTGTACCTCGTCACATGGTAAGCGTCTGACATCTTGTACAGGATGTAGGCATTGTTGATGGCGATGCTGATGGCAAACCAGAATACCTGCTGCCAGGTCTTGTTTGGTTTATGAGAAATGAAATACCTGAAGGCAGAAGGATAAGATAGGCTGACCTGACAGCTCATAGGGACCCGGGAGAGATAGACCCAAAGAACTTCACTCTTCTCAGCCAAAAAGATGCTACAGACTCCCCCACAGAGGCTGTGTGGGGGGAGGAGGGATGGGGAAGCTCTAGCTGGGGGCTTTGCCACATGAACTTTATTTAAGACAAAGGAAAGGAAAACAACTGAGAAGCATCTGAAGGAAGGACTGGATCACTGGAGGACAACCTGCAAACCGGGTGCCAGGTGTTCTCTGGGTGGCTTGTAGGCCCTAGTGGGACTGGCCCCAGCTGGCCACTTGAGCTTCACTGCCTGCTGAAGGCCCTCTGAAGGCTGAGTCCGTGGCTTTGGAACAGCTTCCACTTCCACAAGCTCAAGCCAAGTCCTTCCTCAGCCCCAGGCCCTGCAATGCGTTTCCTTGCTCCTAAGTGCTTCTTCCCCACCCCTACCTTCCCTTCAGAAGGAGGAACAGAGGTCACCTCAGGGATGCTGACCCTCGTGAAAAGACCCTTCTTAGGACTCACTCCCTGAGCTGTGTTCTCTCCTGGGGTATATCCATCTGTCTCTGCACCCTGATTATAACATATTTGAGGATTGGCAGCCTCAGTACACCACATGCCCAGCAGAGGGCAGGTGCCCACAGACGTCTACTCAGTTCAAAGAAGTGCCAGTTCCTTTGTTTTGTCCTCCTTGCCATGAAAAAGGCCAGAAAACTGGGTGAGCCTCAAAGCCAGCTAAGTCAATGCCCAATTTTGAGTTAGTCCAACCCTGTTCTAGTTGTAAGGTCGAATTCTAGTGACTTAGTAGTGATGCCCACATTTGGAGTTCCCGTCATGTTGTTGTGACAGTCAGCCAGGGCTGGCATCATGGGTGCGTGTGCACCACCATACCCTGTACACTGTCCATACTGCATCCACATGTCCTCACACTGCAATCTAACAGGAGGCTCCCCGCAGGACACACGTGTGCTCACACTGCAATCTAACAGGAGGCTCCCCGCAGGACACACGTGTGCTC